AAATAAGTTAGGGTTAGGTTAGGGTTTAGGTTAGGGTTAGGTTGGGGTTAGGGTGAGGGTTAGTATTAGGGTTTAGTTTTGCGTTAGGATAGTTTTTTCTACGTTATAAAAACGGAAACCTTATTTTGAAGTATACTATCTAGCGATCACCGATGTAATAAGTCAACCTCGTCCCCAGGGTCTTCCTCGTGGTGGCGCGTGAGCTACCACGAGGAAGACCCTGGGGACGAGGTTGTAAGTTTGTATGCATCAAGATTAAGGCAGTCCCTTCTTGATCTGTCCAGAAGATTGCAGTCCAGTCCAGACGAAGAAGTTGTAGACTTCCTTATATATCATTCGCTTGGAACAAATATGTGGTCACTTGACTCGAATGGGAAACAGATTTAACTCAACCTTCCATGCTATTTCAGAAGTTATTTCACTGCTTCGAAATTTAAATTTAGAAAACAGAACAACTCTTCCCAATGTGTCAGAACAAAACAGTGCCTAGCTCTGTGGGAAGACCGAAATTTGTTATCACCAGAGACATTTGTTGTCCAGCAGGAACAGAAACGATGCTATTAGCAGCTGTAATAAGTTTTTCTGCACAGTCTCTCAGAATATTTTCCATTTTTAGTGTCTAATATCGACAGGAATAAACGTATATAAATGAATAATGCAAGAACGGCGAACAAACGAAACACGTGTTTATGGAAAACTTCATGTAATTCTACTCAAAATAAATCCGAGATCTGCGGGCTCAAGTCCCCAAGGTCGCAAGGCATTATCGAAGAATTTAAACAATCGACGAAGTCATGAACAGTTGTTTATTTTAATTCGACAAATTCAAGAATTTATGGAACTTTTATTCGACAAATTCATATATACAAGTCAAATAGCTACTCTTCCAAAGATATCTATCTATCCATCCATCCATCCATCCATCCATCCATCCATCCATCCATCCATCCATCCATCCATCCATCCATCCATCCATCAATCCATCCATCCATCCATCCATCTATCCATCTATCTATCTATCTATCTATCTATTTATCTATCTATCTATAAGCATATCGCAATAAGCCTTGCCCGTGGATAAATGCTGAGATAAAACAGAAAATGTTTAATCGAGACAGACTAAAAAAAAAAGCCATGCTGACAAATAATCCTGAAACCTGGCTGGCTTATAGAAGACAACGTAATGTTGTATCTAGTGAGATTAAGAAAGTTAAAAAGCAGTATTTTCAGAGCGAAATTAATACAAATCGCGGCAATTCAAAGGAAACATGAAAAATTTTGAATGACGCGATGGGGAGAAAATCTGAAAATACTGAAATTAATAAAATATCAACTGGTTCAGATCAAGATTTGACTGAATCGGTTGATATAGCAAATTACTTTAATGCCCATTTTGTTGATATTGGCCCAAAATTAGCATCTAATGTTCCCACAATAAGTGGAAGGAAACCAGAATGATGATTTTATGACAAAAATTGCATCTAAATTCAATTTTAAAAAAAATGATACAAAAGATGTAATAAAACTAATAAAGAAAATAAATTTGCGTAAGGCCTCAGGCCATGATAAAATATCCAATAAGTTATTGAAACTTGCCGGTCCTTATCTTTACCAGTCACTCACAGACCTCTTCAATCTTTCCATTAAATTGAGGAGCTTTGCAATAAATAAATGATGCAAGTAATTATAGGCCAATTTCAGTCTTATCTACTATAGCTCGTCTATTCGAACGATTAATGTATGATCAATTCTACAGTTATTTAACTGAATATGATCTCATCGATACCAGACAATCAGGTTTTCGTTCACTCCATTCAACGTTGACCGCACTACTAGTTGATATGTCAAACCAGTGGTGTTTCAATATTGATAGGGGAATGGTTAATGGTGTCATATTCTTAGATTTAAAAAAAGCATTTGATACCATTGACCATGAAATTTTATTGATGAAATTAGCATGCTATGGTGT